CCCCCCGGCATGCTCAGACAGCATGAGCGCACGCTTGCGCTACGCGTAGAAAGGCTAAAATTACCCGGTGTTATATGGAATAAATAGTTCACGTCTATTCCACGTGCGGGTGTATCTAGATTGTCCGACCTATTTTTCTCCGACCTGGTGATTTTTCTAAAATCCCCAAAAGGTGATTTCCGACCTAGGTTTCGTCCGACCTAATTTTCTCTGACCTAATTTTCGTCGACCTCGTCGACCCACGGCATTGCAATGTCGTCCGCTCTGATACCCGGCGGTTATAACAATTAGTGATGGATGTTGATGTATAGATTGAAAGCCAGGAAACTTGGTGGCAGCGTATAAATATTCTAGAAATTGACTTCATGTTCTGGTGAGCAGCCTGAAAGGTAGCCAATTTATGTCCTCAAAACCCCTGTATGTAGGCAACGCACGGTGCACCGCCCCCCTGACAGCCGGACCTTATCCCGCGCCTGCTTCATGAAGTTCTCTATGTGAACTCGCTCAAAGAAGAGGAGAAACTTACAACACATTCTGATGGTTTTCGGTACGGTGCACCAAGTGATGGGCAACCGACACACTAGTCCCCACGGATCCGCGCCTGTAAAGTGGTCAGTAGAGACGACAATAGCGTTAAAAAGACGTTCCCCCGAGTAGACGAGGTTGGTAGGGCCGCCATAACTGGTTACGTCTCGATGAAAGTCGAAAATAACTAAGCTTAAAATGGAAAGCGTGGGGAATAACCGATTGGCCGAGAGATTCCCGCCTCTACGTCACGCCGCGCCGGTGGTCAAGAAATAAACGCCTGTGAGACACGGGGAAGGCCATCCCGCAATGCACACATGCACTACAAACAAGATATTGCCTACTTATCAGGCGCTATATGAGACCTCGCATTGGCTAAACCGAGCAATTTCGTAACTGCAGATGACGGATGCTCTTTTTGGATGTTCCAACAATAAAAGTTGCGTTACCGAGTTTATTCCGTTGCACAATGTAATGTAATGTAATGCCGATCACCGCCTCCGCGGCTTGGACAAACACTTAGACAAGTCTGGCCCGGGCAACACCGACCTAGCTTGCCGCTTCAGGATAACCGCTCAGGTGTCTTGTCTTGTTTTGGCCAAACTGACATTTTTGTGACTTTAAATAAATAGACATTTCAAATGCTGAATGAAAATCCACAGGAAAAAGACGTTTTGACCCAAAAAGGAGTTAACCAGAGCGTCGGGCGCGCTGAGCGGTTGTCTGGGGCACCAAGCTACTGCGTTACTGCGTAAGTGGTTGTTCCAGGCGGGAGTGATCTCGGGAGTAAGCTGACCGTTTGTCCCGTGGAGGTTATAGTGTATCTCGACGAACGAATGAAGAAGAAGAGGGGGTAGAACATAAACGTTAACGATTGGCCGAGCCCGCCTCTACGTCACGCCGGTATTTGGGGTAAGCGTTCGGCCAATCAGGAACCTTTATGTACTACCCGCTATTCTTCTTCCTCCTTTAGTCGAAATACACTATATTGTTGGCGATCGGTCTGAGGAATGCAGAGAGCTGTGGCTGTGAGCCCGCATGGAAAAAAGAGTTAAAATATGACTGGCCAAATTCCCTAAAAAGTATAAAAATCTAAATCAAGAATCTATCTTGAAGGCACATGATATAAGTATAAGAATAATAGGTCTGTTTCCAATTTTCTCTCATATTTAGCTGTCATTTGTTTATGGTTGCTTGTTACTTGCAACTTTGTAATTCGGCGTACTAGGGGCGCTGAGGAGGAGAAAAGGCGCGGGCATCGGTGGGCTAGTATTGTTGTGCAGGGACGGGGGGACGGGGAGCCTGTAGTATTGTTAGACAGGGTAACCACTCACTCACTCGGACACGGATCCCCCAGCGCCAAAGAAATTGTTTTCTGGTCTGCACTAAGGTCTCTCTACTCATCTAGAGTAAAAGCTAGCTGACACCTTAAAGTTAATTATTTATTCTTTATGTTTAGTCAAAAGGTTTTTAAGGTATCATCTGATAAAAAAT